AGTCCCAAGAAGTAGGGCCTGCCTGGAGATTCTCCAGAAATGACAACTGGTTTCCACACTGCAGAGGACAGTTACCCTAGAAAAAATAGCTGCTTTGAAAGATAGCATTATACCTCCCCTCTCCCCAGGCCTCGCCGCTCTCCATCGGGGCTCTTTAAAAGCTAATGGCCGCCACCGCCATTCTCCACAGCAGCTGCGGTGGGGGCGGGGCGGTGAAACGTTCCCTTGCCTCCCTGAGCCCCAGGGTGGTGGCCTTGGACTCGTAGGGGCAAATTCCACCTCTCGCGTGTGATGTCCGAGCGGCGTTGCTGCTCGGACATCACACGCTAGAGGCCATTCTGGCTCCCCCAGCTCTCGGGAGGGGCTCTTTAAAAAGTAAAGGCCGCTGTCCTGTTCTCCGCGGTAGGGGCGGGGCGAAACGTTCCCTTGCCTCCCTGAGCCCCAGGGTGGTGGCCTTGGACTCGTAGGGGCAAATTCCACCTCTTGGGTGTGATGTCCGAGTGGCCGCTCAGGCATCACACGTGAGAGGCCATTCTGGCTCCCCCAGCTCTCGGGAGGGGCTCTTTAAAAAGTAATGGCCTGTTTCAGCGGCAGCTGCGACGCCCGCGCGGGTGGGTGAGGGGCGGAGCAAAACGTTCCCTTGCCTCCCTGAGCCCCGGGGTGGTAGCCTTGGACTCGTAGGGGCAAATTCCACCTCTCTCGTGTGATGTCCGAGTGGCCGCTGGCCATTCTGGCTCCCCCAGCTCTCGGGAGGGGCTCTTTTAAAAAGTAATGGCGAAGGAAGGCGGGGGCAACAGTGCAGCGACGTGGTTGAGTTTGCTTAGGGCTCTGAGACTCACCAACTTCTGGACCTTTTTTATGGGTCCATTTGGTTCTCCTTGGTCCCATCGGTTCGTCAGGAGTACGAACTGATTGCAGAGGACTTTTATATATGAGCCCCCCGTTTGTGGCAACAACGGGTGTGGAGTCAGAATTGTCCTAACGCAGGAAGCACCGAAGACCAGCTGTGATAGCACGACTGACAAGCTGTATTACCCCTTTACAAAGAGCCTTCAAACCTCGTCATACCATCTAGGCGAAGAACCTGTGAGTACTTTCTCTTTCTTGACAACTTTCAAGCTTGGAAAACAACTTCTGTTTGCCCCTATAAATCTTCCCGAGAAGCTAAAGGAGGTGCTGAGGAATCTTCCCTCACACATTCCTATGATAAGCGGCAAAGCAGAGCACCGGGGTGTCAACTTCAATATAAATACAAAGGGAAGAGTAATATATTGAAATCTCCTATCTGCTATTTGGAAAACACCTTAAATACTGAAGAACAGTGACTTACTTGATTTATGGGGTCTGGACATAAAATGGTGACGAAGCCGGCACTCTTAATGGCATAATTCCACAGAGACTATTGTTTACAAGAGTCTCGGCTTAAGTGCAAAATGGCTTTCTTAGCACAAATCGGAGAGGACTGACAATTGTCAAAAACCTTCTGGGATGAGATTATTCTACAAATGCAAACTAAAATACTTGAAGCTATCTCTTCATTTATGGAACAAATCGAGAGTGCTTTTGAAAGTGAACAGACTAGTTTACTTGAAATAACAGACCCTCCATTGCAAATGACGCCATCCTTGTACCAAAACCTCGACCAGTCTGGAGATGTGATCCCTAATACGAGAGAAATAACAAAAGGCTACTCTGACTGCTTGAAATTTCCAGTTTCCTTAGCTATCAAGCACAACAAGGCGTTTTCGCATACAAGCAGTTTGGAAGAGGAGGGGGAGAATTTCAAAGCGTCTTCAGAAAATGAACAGACTTCCAAGAGCTGCTGCATAAGTAAGATTGAGACCTTCAAAGATCAAAGGCACAGGAGATTAACAATTTTGGGGAGACATTTGCAGGGAAAACAGAAGAAATATAAACTATATAACTAATTTGTAGCAATATATCTTGATTGTTTGCATGGTGAAACTGACTAATGAGAAGATTTACCTAAAGTGAACTCTCAAACTGCAAAAGAAAAACAACAACAATCACACATTTGTTCATATATTATTTCTTTCTGCCTTCTTTTCTATGAACCTTTACTGATACTTGATAAATGACTGATTAAGAATATAATCTGTAGTTACAAATATTGACTATATTGTCTTAACTGATTAGTGAAAGTTAGAAGTAAGGGTTGGTTTATTTGAAGCAATATGTTTTGGATATTTGTAATGCTCTACCTGATGGTTGATAAAAATTATAGGGTAGTTTTGTCTCTTAAAGTGGGCCTTGCAGGGAAAAAATAAAGGGCTAATTACCTAGAGAAGGTGTAATGACCCTAAGTGTTGTGAGAGAAAAGAGGGATCTAGATAGTGTGAGGTGAAAGTATATTGGCATTGTAAAGTTGAGAGCTGATGTTATGGAGAAAATATAAATTACTACGTTTAGGTTTGCAAACGGGAATTTTGAAAGCTAACAATATTTTTTGAAATTTTGAAAGAATATCTTAAAGAGACTAGATTGATATTATATAAAAATTTAAACAGTCTAACTGCTGTGATATACATGTGTTTTTTTTTCTTATATATTTTATTGTTTTAAAATTGATTAATAATAGTAATAGCTGGTAGGATATAGAAAAAAATGAATTGCTTATTGGGAACAGAATTTTACTTAATGTCATCAGATGTGGATTATAGATTAACAAAGGGAAAAAGGGAATTATGTCTCTAAAGATGTTATGAACGAGGCAATGGCTGGATACCTTTGAAGTGTATGGCTCTCTCTCTTTGTTTTATATAACTCTTTAAAAAACTAATAACCTTGCCCATTAACAAAGGGCAAGCAGAAAATAAATAATAAAAAAGAAATGGCCGCCATCACCCGCGCGGGTGGAGGCGGGGCAAAACGTTCCCTTGCCTCCCTGAGTCCCAGGGTGGCGGTCTTGGACTCGTAGGGGCAAATTCCACCTCTTGTGTGTGATGTCCGAGGGGCGTTGCCGCGCGGGTGGGGGAGGGGTGGGGCGAAACATTCTCTTGCCTCCCTGAGCACCAGGGTGGTGGCCTTGGACTGGCAGGGGCAAATTCCACCTCTTGTGTGTGATAACATCACACGCGAGAGGCCATTCTGGCTCCCCCAGCTCTCAGGAGGGGCTCTTTAAAAAGTAATGGCCGATGCTGCTGTTCTCAGCGGCAGCTGCGACGCCACCGCGGGGGGGACGGGACACGACTGCTGAGCTGCCCTCCCAACCTTTTTCAGGCTCCAGGCCTGAAAAACAGCCTGCAGAGCCCCCCTCTCCTTTTTCAGGCTCTGTGTTAGAACGCCGGGCCTGAAAAAGGGCCAGCCGAATGTCAATTTCGGCCCCATTATATCCTATGGGCCATTGAAGTCCATGGCAAAAACATAGGGTATATTCTGGGGGCTGGAGGAAAGGGGGTTTGAGGGAGAGGCTCCAAACTCGTAGGGTAGCTGCTGGAGCCTCTCCCCAAGATACCAACCAAGACTGAAGAACATTGGACCAGGGGGTCCAATTCTACAGCCCCCAAACCAGTTGCCCCCATCCCCTCCATTGTTCTCTATGGTGGGAAAAAAGTTACTTTTTCCCACCATAGAAAACAATGGAGGGGATAAGGGCAACCTGTTTGGGGGCCCGTAGAATTGGACCCCCTGGTTCAATACTCCTGAAACATGGCGGGTTTCTTGGGGAGAGGCTCCAGCAGCTACCCTGCAATTTTGGAGCCTCTCCCTCAAACCCCCTTTCCTCCAGCCCCC